GGGAGGTCTCAATGAGAACTCCCCCGCATATATCACCAATGCCTTCACTCGCTGGGCAGGGCTAGAACAGAAATCTTTCCAACTTGCTAACTCTATGGCCTAGAGTGAGCGAGCTGTCTCCGTGCACATAAGCACTATATCCCTTCTTGGCACGAATAGAGCACCAACTCCTTTTCGCAGCAGTCCTATGTGATCTGCTACAAACCTCGCGAAACTCCCATCATAAGAGTCCTCGCCCCCAACAAAAATGTATTGCGAGGACACTCCCTTATCATAGCCAAATTGTAGAGGCACTCGGCGAGGGTTGTAAGTTTTTAATATTTGGCCACCCTCCCATTGGGCAGGCAAATAACCAGGGGTGGTGACTAGCAAAAACACTAGCACCTCGCTCGTGTTTAGTCGATGAGCCCCTACCAGAATATGCTCATCATGGTCAAAGTATATAGGCATAGTCAATGCCCCAGGCAGGTCCGCAGCATAAGGGCGAGCGATAAATTGGAAGCTCTGGTCCAAGGCATACCCCAGCTGTCCTCAAGGGGAGCTCCCATACCACCTCATACCTCGCACAACCTGTTCGTCAACAGCCAAGTCTGTAGGGGTTGGGGTATAGGATTGAAATCTCTCATACAGAAACATCGGTAAAAAGAGAGTAAATGCATAAGAACTATGGGCGTAGCGACCAACAGAGTGCACCATGTCCTCCCCCACCATATCGAGGCGATGGTATAACATCCCCAAAAATAGAGGCGCAAGGGCCACTTTCACACCACTTACTAACTTCATCTCAAGGTCCAAGAGGTGAGGTAAGGGAGCATTTTTAGGAGTACACTCCAATATGTACCTCGAAAGCTAACACAACAAGTAGGCCGCGAGACCAAAGGGGTAGTCAATCCAAGGACTAGGAATTCCCTTTATCCCTTCCTCTGAGAGGTCTTTCCTCGACATGGGGAAATCTCTGAAGTAATAGCGCACCAAAGCACCAAGAGTGGCCTTGTGTGTGCCTTTGCCTCGAGCGGTACGGCAAATCCCTTGTTTGCCCTATAAAGATTTCAAATCTTTGGTCTTATCCAAAGCTATTTCGAGATCTTGGGCTAGAGTCTCCTCATCTTGCAAGAATTCCCACGAACCAGGATTCTCCACACCTTGATAAGGTAATCCCATAAGCTGGCTTATATCTTCGACAATGGGAGCAAACTCTCCCCACGCGGTGACAAAGGTGTGTGAGCTCGAACTCCACCGCGAGGTTAATTCCTATAAACTAGCCACATCGCGAGGAATATGAAGTCAGCGAAATAACTTTATACAAGGCAAGAGGCTTGTCTTGGTTAAAGTTACCTCATACACTAGATTGGCCAGGATCGCGTCAGTTTATGCCTCCCAACCATGACCCGTGCAAATATGGTTCACGAAGTTCATAAAGGACAATGGGTATCGCCCTTGCTCAACACCAAATCTCAAAATAGTGTCTGTAGGAATACGCGAAGCTAAGTTAATCTCAACCTCCTCCTCTATCAATTCCATCACTTCCAGTGGCTCGCCGGCAACCACATCCTGGTTTGCCAGGTGCCAAAACAAGTCATGCTTCCCGAAAAACGGGGCTCGCCACCACTCTGAATCCGGTGGAACCTTAGGTGGAGGGCAGTCCTTCTTGCTCAATTCCTGTTTCTTACTCACCATGATAGTAATCCTAAAGTCTGAGTTAACACAAGCAAAAGATCTTAAGTTTTGTAAATTCTCTTCGCCGGCGACAATGGAGGCAAGGATCAAAAAAAAAAAAAAAAAAACAATAGTAAGGGTAAATCTTTTCTTAGGTAAACCCTCACGCCATCACTTGCCCCCTTTTAAATAGTTCCCTCAGCTCGGGAACCCCCAAAATCGAAGCGGCAACAGATGGCGCATTAATGACTAAAGGTGACTTTTCAATCTCGCGTCCGCTCAATTTCCTCAAATGAATAAATGACCCAGCCGTCTAGACTTGCACACGCAACAATACATTTTGAATCGTCGCACGTGCAGGGGGACAAAATGTGGGTGTCACTTATTAGAAGCTAACATGGCACGTTGACAAGTCAATACGACCCTAACCCAATCCCCCGTGGTGATTTGAAAAGTCAAAGCCTGACAAGACCAATCCTCGAGCACTCTAAGTCCAGGCATCGTTCTAGGCCCATTAAGCCTCGAGGGATCAACTCTCGAGCACCTTAAGCCCTGGCATTGCTCTAGGCCCATCAAGCCTCGAGAGACCAACTCTCGAGCACCTTAAGCCCTAGCATCACTCCAGGCCCATCAAGCCTCAAGAGTCAGCCCTTGAGCTCCAGGCTCATTAAGCCTCAATAGATCAACTCTCAAGCACCTGAAGCCCTGGTATCGCTCCAGGCCCCTCAAGCCTCGAGAGAATAACTCTCGAGCACCTTAAGCCCTGGCATCGCTCTAGGTCCATGCAAGCCTCGAGGACCTAACCCTCGAGTACTCTAAGCCTTGGTATTAGGTCAGGCAATACCACTCAGAGGATTAGAGCCCAGAAAGACTCGTTATTAAAATTCACACATAGCACGAAATGATTGTAGGGTTTTCGTAGCTATAAAGAATCTAAGATTCGGAAGCTTAGGAGGATCTTGGATTGGCGGATGAGAAGTCAAGAAGTGCCTTCGCTTTCAGCAACGCCCAATTAACAAGATGATGGGATTATGTACATTATGTCAGCAAACCTTAAATCACATTTAACCAGCCGGCGGCCAAGCAAAAATAATGCCCTTGATTAAGGGAGAAATGACATGGCAACAAAGTGCAAGGCTCGATGAGAGGATTAGACCCTTCAGGCTCCTAAATCCCCAAGATTACCCACGTAATCTTGACTAGGAGCAATACATACGAGAAACCATGCACAAAGGGGACCATTGGATAATAACCAATGGAATTCAAGCATATAAATAGTATTGTCCTATGAAGAAATAACCAACCCCAGAAGAGGAAGCTGTCATAAGATACTGTGTACTCGCCTTACCACCATCTTAATCTTGATAATTGGTTTTCTTCTCCTCCTTCTACTCTAAGCATCTCCTCTGTTTCTTTCATATTTGTATTTATGATATCACCGTTATATTATTGTTTATTGTTTGATTAAAAAAGAACCCCTACACCTCCCAATCATGAATAGTCTCTCAAACTACACCCCAGATCAATCTCCCATCATCAAAATGATAATAGTGGGCAACCAACACATACTCTTCTTCTGACTTCTACATTAAAGATGACCATAAGCGCGCAAATATATTGAAATTTAAGTTGAATATGTTTGGATTCCTAAGCTATGTGCTCAGTGTAAGAAATTTGGACACACTACTGCCCAGAGTAATTTCTAGTTTTCTCTTATATTTTGAATTTTTGTTAATTCAAATAAAATTGAAAAAGTTGAAATTTGTTAAACCAACCAACATAGTGCAAGGATCCGGCCGTGATGCAAGCACTAAGTTTAGCAAGGGTGGGCCAGCGAGCAAACAAGAACGGGGGCAAGCAATGATGAATAGCGGTAAAGGAGCTTACCAGCGAGGACAAACTGCGACATAAAGAACTCACCGACAAGGAATGAAGAATCCATCGGTGAATTAAGCTCACGACGACGAACGGTAAAGCTCCATTGTGATGGCGAGCTCATAGTTTTGGTGTAAACCCATTTCAGTCTGGCAAGTTGTCTTTCCGGTGCACTCCTCCCCGGCAACGCTTCATGCAATAAGCAGACCCATTTCCTTAACGGCTGAGAAACCTATTTTCTCTCTCTATGAACAGATATAACATTTTTTTTTTTTTTTAAATTATCAAGATGCATAGCCTTCTCTGGGGTAGCGCATTCCTAAGTATGCTGTTAACACTTCATCGTCGAGCACATCGCCATCCATGCTCTTCTCCGTTGACGTCACCCGTCTCCAGCACAGACCCATCTCCAGCCGTTAGGGACAGAGAAAGGGGGGGGGGGGGGGGGGGGTTGTTGGCAGTGGCAAGGCCGTGGGAAAGGAGAAGGAAGAAAAAATCTTAAAAAGGGTACTATCGGTAATTTACATCCATTATATTTTTTATTTTTAATAATAAATTAATAAGTAAGGATAAATTTGTAATTTTACTCTTTTCCTTAATAGCATCCATTAACCGGGGTGGTCAGTGTAATTTATCCTTCTTCTTTTTTTCGGTAAATACAAATTAATCTCCTTATTCTAGTCGTTTTATCTATCATTTTCTATTAAAATATATGACCCCATTGCAGATAGCAAATTTGGTGGTCCTCGGATCGGACAAGGATACACTCCAGTGGACCTGTACTTCACCCACTAAATTTTGTGCAGGAAAAAGTCCAGCGCTGGAGAGTATCGTTGTCCCCTGATATCATCATCTACCTCTTTCCTTGGATGTTGTGAATCGAAATCCTTTTGAAACCAACTAATGATGGAGAATTTTTTCTGTTTGGTGCATTTAAGTTTAAAAAGATTTCATGAGCCCAATAGTGAACAATAATAGGCTTTAAATAATTTGACACTATAATCATTGACTAAAACGATTCTATTAAAATTTCTCTGTCAATGACCAACTAAGTCTCTGTATATATATACATATCAATATATATATATAGATATATATATATATATTCATAAGAAAAATGGGAAGAAGTTAGGAATTCCATGTGGTCCGACAGCAGCGGGCCAACTACATCATTATTGTGCTTCAACCATTTCTAAATCCATTAATTGGCTAAATTCATTCCTTGTTTGGCTTCTACATTTCATTCAAAGGGGGCTTTTGCTTTCATTTGACTGTAAACTCTCTATATACACCATTTGTTACGGTGTTCCAAATAAAATCAGTAAAAAATTGAAACCAAAACACAATAACAAGGGTAGTGATTTTCAATGAGTACATGTATATGAGTAATTGACTTACCAAAACATCAAACATATAATGATCGAAGAACAACTATTGCAAAACAATATTTATTACCAAACAAAAGATGATCAAACATGGAATGGCTCTAGCTGAACATCCTTGGCCTTCAATGGTTCATACTCTCCCAGATAAACCTCCAGATGATCGGACAGGGCGGACTTGTCGATACTTTCATGGTGATACGATTTGCAGACGAAGTAGAGCACAGTTTGGATGACAAGCCCAAAGAGAATCAACTTGAAAAGCAACAACAAACAAATTATGCCAAACACTGTCCTACGCAACATACCTAGTGACTCTCCATGCACAACATACACTTCAAACAGTCTTTGTATGACCACAAGAAAGAAATTCAACATGAAAAAGACAGCTATGGCCACCCACATCTTTCCCTTTATGAGCTCCTTGCTCTTCACCATGGCCTTGAATCCATATATGTCCTCTAGCACCGACACGACGCTAGCCAGGTGCCAAACAATGGTCAAATACACAAACCCTACCACATACAAGGCTAGGCCAACGAAGAACAACACCACACCAATTGTTGTGTTCGAGATTGTGACAGCCCACAAGACGAAGGCCAGTATAGCCACTATGTTGTAACCAAAGAAGGCAATGAAAGTGCACAAAAAAGTGACCATGAGTCTCTTCCAGACCTTTGGGACCACACTCATGACCTTTTTGAAGGTGAATTCGCGGGCCGTGTACACGCAGGCGATGGTGTACACCACCGCGGCGGTGGAGAGGAGGGAGAAGATGAGGAGGAAGGTGAAATAGGCAAACTTGAAGAGCCAGTAGGTGGTCCATTCGGAGGAGACGTGGTCGGTGAGCTTGTTGTATTTGGTGGTACCGGCTCGGGTGTTGTCGAGCTGGTTTTCGGTGTGGAGGATCTTTGAGAAGAGTGTGTGTGATACTTCAATATGTGCTAGGTAGATGAAGGATAGAGGGAGGATCAAAGCTAGAGTGATTTGGCTGAATATCTTCCTGCACGAGATGATTATCTTGTAGCCTTCTATGAACACACCAAAAAGCCCTAGAAATTGCATCTCTTCTTGTTCTCTATCCATGATGTTTCTTTGATTTTGCTTCAATGGAGGCAGAGATGGGAAGATGGAGAAGGGGATTGAGATATGAGGAGATGGAGTGGGAGGATGGTTTCTAGGAAGGAATATAGCAGATGGGGTTGGACTTTTAGTTATCAAACTGCCCTTACATTTCGACTAAACTACCCAAAGTCAATGTCATCTTTCTTCTTTTTGTTTTTTGTTTTACCTTATTTTTATATTTCACTCCATACAAAAGAAAATTAAAAATTAAAAAATCATTTTCTACTTAAATATGAGATGATCTTCACATGTTACTACTTTTTTCTTAATAGAAAATTTCATTCATTAATACAAGAAAAATGATTCTTGCATCGAATAGTTATAAATTTATTATTTTAATTGATCAATTATACAACAAATAAAGAAGTGAAACCATTTATTTAGTTATATTTATTGTAAATAGTCAATTACAAATTATTCGGTTAGACAATTAACTACAAGTGTTCGATATGAGTATCACATTGAGATATATATATATATATATATATATATATATATATATATATATATATATATATATATATTAATGAGTGATGGATTCCTTTGATACTTATCTCAATCAATAAATGAGAAATCATGTTTGAGAGGGAATAATATTATTGGGTCCGGGAAATACCCACCAACCAATAATCAATATTCTTTTTTATTTATTTATTTTATTGATGAAATAAAATACTTGATCATCACTGATTAGAAGTACTACATACTTATGAAGTACCTAATTTTTTTTTTTATTTGTTGTTGTTGTCGTCATCGTCTGGGTGTGTGTTTTTAATTTTGTATTCTAATTTAATTTATACCCAAAAGTATAATTAATTAGTACCAGTAATTGTAATGCATTGTTGACTTGTTCTAAAAGATGTGTATATATATATAAATATATAGGTTTTTAATAGGAGAAAAAGAAAATGGGCAAATTAGTAGATTAGTCGAAACATGGGGTTTAATTGGAAGGAGAAGCATTGTTAGTTCCGAAAGGGCGGCAAAGACCGGTTCATTGGGTGTTTCACTCGGAGGCGAGGTTTCTTAAGAGGAAAGTGCTTTTTCCAAGTCTTTGTCCAATCATCCCAGCTCTCAATTATATAGTTTTTGAGTCAAAATAATATTTTTTCTGATATGTATATTTTCTGAGTCTAATTACTGAAATGCCCACACTAGAAAGAAAAACCATTGTGCGATCCACGTGGATTTCATTAACTGTATCCGTGATGGTCAATCCCAGCCAAATAATATACTTGGTGGGTGGTGTGGAAACAAGTTGGATTCAGATAGTATGTAATGTTGCATTGTGTATGATAATTTATATTTATTACTAATAAATATATATATATATATATATATATATATATATATAAGGTCAAGTGCAGAAAATATTCTTAAAGTACAATACATATCACACATTTACGTGCAAAAAAAAATCCCTTAAATTTCAATTTGGTATAAATAGGTTCTCAACAAATTTAAATACTAAGTTGACTAAATTATAAAATATATTAAAATAAATAAAATCACCCAAAAAGACACTGTTAGAAAACGTGAGTAATGAACAAATAAAGATAAAAATATAAAATAAAAGTAAAAAAAAAAAAGTAAAAATAAAAATACAAAATAAAAAACGAAAATAAAGTACAAACTAAATAAAATAAATCTGGTCCAAACTCCGAAAATCAATGCACACTAACATTGGAAATTTTTTTTTTTTTAATTTGTTTAACAGGTTCGAAAGAAAAAAATAAAATTAAGAAAAAAATAGAAAAGAGTAAACTCGAGTCTCAAAAAATTCAAATCCTTATTTCATAAATTATCAAAGAATAAAAGGATAAAATATACATTAAAGTGTAAAATTTCTGATTAAAGTGTATTTTTACATAGTATAAAAAAATTTTATATACTTTTTTAAATAGAAGTAAAAATATACATGGAATATACGAAATCATTCTAATTTTTGTATCCCTAGTTTTACTTCTATATGCAAGACTGTTTTTCATTTGGAACCGATAATCTCTATGTCGCTTAGGGAATGATCCACTAATTCTTAAAGAGTTTATACAAGGGATTTGGTAAAGATCGACATCAACGATGTTGACTATATATTAAAATATTAAATAAACAGACAAAGCCTAGAAACATATATGTCATTTTTCTATTAGGTACCAAATATGTCATTTTCTTAAAAAAAAAAAAAAGGGTTTTTCCAAGAATGCAGCTTTGGTTATTGTCTAATTCAGATTAAAGACTTTGCTTAGGACTTTTCAAATTGTATATGTCATAATTTTTGTAAATTGTATATGTCATAATTTTTGTCAGCGCGATGTATTAATTCAGAATTTTTTATTTTATTTTCAATGGGATTTTTACGCCTATTATTCTTGGACTCATACTCATGGATAATTTTTTTTAAGTATTTAATAAGTTTACGCTGTGTTTGGAACTAAATACTTTTGGGATTTGAAATTAAAATTCAAAAAGGGTTTTTCCAAGAATGCAGCTTTGGTTATTGTCTAATTCAGATTAAAGACTTTGCTTAGGACTTTTCAAATTGTATATGTCATAATTTTTGTAAATTGTATATGTCATAATTTTTGTCAGCGCGATGTATTAATTCAGAATTTTTTATTTTATTTTCAATGGGATTTTTACGCCTATTATTCTTGGACTCATACTCATGGATAATTTTTTTTAAGTATTTAATAAGTTTACGCTGTGTTTGGAACTAAATACTTTTGGGATTTGAAATTAAAATTCAAAAATGAATTAGATTGTAATTAATTAGAAATTCTATTTTGCGTTTTGAGGGTACCAAAAATAAACCGGGCCATATATGGCCTGATCCATTGGGCCCAGAGCTTGGAAGAGTCATGAGTCCACCTGTAGGACGGCCCGATAAGCCCAATGCTCCTTTAAATTGCCTTCAAGCCCAACCCCCTCATCACGACGCGGAAGTCCTCCTTTCATGATGGCCCAAGTAAAAGGCTCACTGAAGATTGGCCAGCTCCGGGGGGTTTTGAGAGAGGTTCCTAGGGCAACTGTACGTTTCTATAAATAGAAATTAGAGAGAGAAAAGGAAGGGGCATATTGTGTGAAGTATATGAGATTTCTTTCTGAATATAGAAAACATTTTTCTGGTACTTCACGTTTTTCTGATACTTCAAGTTTGGAATAAAATGATGATTGGTAAAAAAGAGAATTTAAAAAGAAATAAATTTTGTATAATTTTTGAATGAGACAACTGAAAATAGTTTGTAGACGCGAAATGTATAAATAATTTGTAGAAGAATATTTTAGTCAATTAAGTAGTTAATTATCAAATTCTTTCAATTTTTTCAGGATTTGTTTACGTTATTATATTTCCCCATCAAAACATTCTTTTAAAATCTCACATATTCTAAACACGTGAAATCTTATTTCAAATACAATTTCGAAGAAATCCTCCCATTCCAAAACCGACAATGAATTTACAAGTTAGAATATCACACACGATTAAGAACAAAAAGTTTGAAAACCAACAAACAAGGGTGAAATTATTATTCAATTTTTTTCCGTAATGCTTTAAACACCTATCATAGTTGGACAACTTGGACTCATATTCGTGGATGATCAATTTTGAAGTATTTAAAAAGTTTTTGAAAGTAATGAATTTATAAGTTAGAAAATGTCACAAAAGATTACAAAGTTTGAAAACCAACAAACAAGGATGCATTTAAAAATTGTTGTTCAGTTGGTGATATTTTAATAAAAATATTAAATTATACTTATTCATATTAATTCCATTTAACATGATTTTATGGTAATTTATTCTAAGTTTTAACTTCAATTTTTTTTGTAAGTATAACTCCTATATCAGTATATATTTTTCCTAGCAAGTCAATCCTTACATTTTTCATTTATTATATACTTCTTCCATTCAATTTAAGTGTCGCTTTTGGGGAATAGTAATTTTTAGAGAAAATATCTATACTATCATTTTCATGCAAAAAAAACCCCACGAAAATTAAACACGCCCTAAACTATAAAAGGTCATCACATTACCCCATTTCCATTCAAATCCGTTAACCTGCCATCCAAAAGGGAGCACATGACATGCACGTGCTCATCACAAAATTTTCTTACCCGAAATACCCCCCAACACCTCCCTTCCCTTTTAGTTGTTGTGAAAATTCCTCATATTTATAGAAATATATAAATTACAATATTCATACACAATGATTCAAAGAAAATGAACAACACCACCACTGTGAAAAATCTAATAACGATTCTTTTATTAGACTGAATAATACATCATTGAACAATATAGATATAATAATGAATAAGAACGGATAAATAATTCAGATTAATATAATAATAGAAATTAAGAATGAAAACGACAATAATAAAATAAGTAAGAAATAGCTGGCCTGATTGTTGAGCCATGTGTAAATACATTGACCTAAAGCTGATAGTCCTCCCCTTCGTGCGGGTATTGGTGAAACTAGTCAGCTCCAAGATACAATCCAATCAGCTCGCAGCGACGTCTCCTCCATGTGCGCGACCACATGAAGACTAGGTTCAAGTCTATATGTTTCTGGTTGCCCATACACTCAATATATAATATAGAATATAAAATACTTCTACATGAGTCTCACCCATTCATTTATCATCACTCATATATGCAAAAAAACCCCACTATATAGAAAATGAGAAGTCTTCTTATATATATATATATATATATAGAATTAATAATAACTATAACGGTTATTCATACTTAATACGATATTAAGTAAAATTAAAAAGATTAGATTAAATATAATTTAATAGTAATTATTATATTATAACTGAATATATAATTTATTATATATTTATTTACTTTTATTAAAATATCCATAATAGTGCCCACCTATTTTAATAAAAATAAATAACTAAATATTATTGAGCAACATTATACTATACAGTTGGCGTTGGTGCTTTCTGGGCTTGAACCTACA